CATCGTCGTCACAAGTGCCACCATTATTTCACTACCACCAAGAAGAAGTCCCACTCAAGTAAAGAGTAGTACACTTGGTTGTGATCAACACACTACTACCACACGCGCTCACACCGTTGTCACCACCTCTCCACCACTTACGAAATGAACAATTCATATTATCATTGTAGTCTCAGGATGGAACATACAAAATAGAGTATGGAAGTATAAAGGACAGTAATATAAAATGGAGCTATTCTTTATCTGCGTTAGTCTAAAATATCTCATGAATAATGTCACATAATAATTCAATAATTTTTCCTAAGCATTGTTGATTTCTCTAAAAATAAAAATCTCAGTCACTGTCACTTGGGGTAATTTTCGAAACCCAAAGAAAAGATCTAGTTAGAATTTTTTCATTTTTTATTTTTTAATTTTTAATTTTTAATTTTTATTTTTTATAATCACATGATAAAATGTTCATTTAAAAAGTCAGATCCAATGGCATTGGTTATCCAATACTAGGAGACAGCTAGAAAGAGCTGAGTCTCCAAAGAGAGTTGGTTCAATGAACTGGTTGAGATTGAGACTTGAGGAAGACGATGTCAAACAACTTTGTTTGGCTCACAATTAATGAAAACTTTAGGTTATAAGTTTGGTAGATTCATGCATACACTTGGAGGGAAGTCAGACACATGCAAACATGAGATCTTTGACAGTTACTTGTAGTTTTTGGTAATCTCCAATCCAATGTCCTTTGACCTAATAATTTTTTTTTGATGTTGAATTTTGTATAATAAATCATACATGGGTTTTGACATTTGAATTGTCATCATCAAATGGGCTGTTTTCTTTTGCTTGTTTTTGGAACCATTAAGGTGATGATGGTGATGGTCCTCTCAATTAAAAACCAAAATTTGGATCCTTATGGGAAATTTTAACAAATTAATCCATGCACCAATGGCATGCTTACCATTTGTTTTAATTATTTATATTTATTATTTAATGTGGTGTACTCATAATAAGTTTGGATTATAGGAATCTTAAAAAGAAAAGAGAATATGATTGTGTGTGTTTGGAACGAATTAAAATAAAAAAAGTAACCGTTGATTATCTATCACATTCCCAAATTATGTAAGAATCAAATTCTCCCACTTCCTCATAGTAATCTCACATTTTTTTTAAAAGTAAAATATAATAATTAGGTCCACAATATTTAAAATTTTACTATTTTTTCATTGAGGATTACTAACACACTACTACAAAAACAGATAAAAATCACACTTTTTTTGTGTGATGTATGTTGTTTAATCACACTTTTTAAATTTTATTAAAGTGTGATTTATGAGAGTGTGATTAAAAGGGATCATTTTTAATCACACTTAAAATGTGTGATTAATAACATTTAGATCACACCTTTTAAGTGTAATTAAAAATATTTAGATCACACTTTTTAAGTGTGATTAATAGTATTTAGATCACACCTTTTAAGTGTGATTAATAACATTTAGATGACACCTTTTAAGTGTGATTAATAACATTTAGATGTAGAAAAAAAAATCATATTACACTCACTAGCCTCTCACCCAACCTCCCACACCATAAACCTTATGCACCACACTCTTCCTACTACGCCTCTATAATACCACATGATTATATATACAACATATATTATTTATATAATACATAGACCTGTATTAATATAAAAGTATATATACAAAGATAATTATTTTTTATTGAACATAATTTATGCAAAAATAAATTATTTACTAGGAAAAAAAAAATCACTTTTGACAACTAAACATAATTTTAGTCGCCAATTCTATACTTTTGGCTACTAATTATTTTTTAGTCATTAAAAAATTTAATTCTCGGCTAAAATTACTACTTTTGGCGACTAAACTTCTTTTTAGTCGCCAAAAAGCCTCACTTTTGGCTACTAAACATCTTTTCAGTCTCCCAATGCCTCAATTTTGGCTACTAAATTTTTTTTAGTCGCCAAAAAATCTCACTTTTGGCTACTAAAATTTTTTTAGTTGGTGAAAGCCTCACTTTTGGCGACCAAACATCTTTTTAGTCACCCAATACCTCACTTTTGGCTACTAAATTTTTTTTAGTCGCCAAAAAGCCTTACTTTTGGCTACTAAAATTTTTTTAGTCGGTAAAAGCCATATATTGGCAACCAAATAGATTTTCTCTCAAAAACCTATATTTTTTGCTACTAAATTTTTTTAGTCGCCAAAACCTATACTTTCAGCGACCAAATATGCTTTTTTAGTCACCAAAGATGCTTTTTCTTGTAGTAGAGTGTGATTAAATATATATATGTATATATAATTACACTTATTTAAAAAGTGTGATTAAAAAGTAGTAATGTATATATAATCACACTTAATTAGAATGTGTGATTAAAAAATATATATATAATCACACTTTAATTAGAATGTGTGATTAAAAAATATATATATAATCACACTTATTTAAAAAGTGTGATTAAAAAGTAGTAGTGTATATATAATCACACTTTAATTAGAATGTGTGATTAAAAAATATATAAATTATCATACTTTAATTAGAATGTGTGATTAAAAAAAATATATCTAATCATACTTATTTAAAAAGTGTGATTAAAAAGTAGTAGCGTATATATAATCACACTTTAATTAGAATGTGTGATTAAAAATATATATATACATATATATATATATATATAATCACACTTAATTGAAAAGTGACATAAAAAATGAATATTATCACACTCAATCAAATTAAATGCGATTAAAATATCAATCTAATTTTTTTTATCACACTTCCAATAAAAGTGAGATATTTTTTTTTTGTCAAAATGTAATCTTTAATTATTTTTATAATAGTGACAACCGAATACTTGAATAAGTAATGAGATTTTTATTTTCCTTTAAGATTTGTGTCATCCAGTGACAACCGAATACTTGAATAAGTAATGAGATTTTTATTTTCCTTTAAGATTTGTGTCATCCAAACATGACAATAATATGAACATAGGACTTAGGCCTTGTTTGTCATCTTTTTAAAAAATCAAAAAGTCAAAAAGTCACTATCCTATTTAAATCACATCATCTTATTTAAGTCACATCACCTCTCTATCACATCACTTCAAACATAACCCATACTCAACCCATATTTCATAAAAAATACTTATTTAGAACATCTTAAACAACTCCTTATTGTATTGAAATATAAATGGTCAAAACATTTGGCAAACATAACATTGTTCATAATGACTAAGCAAGGCTATACAAATTAACAAAATATACTATTTTTTTTTTAATTTTTTATTTAGTGCTCATTTGGCATATCACATTTCAGTTAAAATAGTCACATAAAAATAAAATATGTTAAAAAGTCAATAAGATAAAATGTCACGTTCAAATCATAATCACTTTATTTTTTCTCTTACAAAAGTCAAAAAAATCAAAAAGTCCATCACAAACGAGATTTTTTAATCCCAGGCTAAAATAATTAAAAAGTCAAAAAGTTAACTCACATCCCAAATGAAGCCTACTACCTATCACATAATTGAAATGGATCATTTTTAAATTTCAAAATTTTATTATTGCATAACATATCAGTTAAGAAAAATTTGTAAGAATATATTTCCCTTTGTAATCCATTGGGGGTTGTTACGTGAGGGACAAAAAATCCTCTATCGAGAGGCATTTCGGGGCAGGGAGGAGAGAGATTTAAGAATAGAGTATCTGTTGTGAGCTTACTTCTACCAAAGCACAAACTCCACTGACATTTCTATCTTTTTGCAATTATTTTTTAATTTTTTTTTCACGGAAATGGAATTCCCTCCTAACTCTCAAATTAGTTACAGAATCTTCTGTCCCAAAAACAAAATGCTTATCCCATTTTAATTTTTAATTTTAAAAAAAAAAAATTCAAATCATGTGAGGTTGAAATTTGTGGGGTTGACTTAATGGCATCAAATGATATTCTTAATTTCATTTTCCTTAACCCCACACGGTTAGGAAAATGCAACTTGAATGATAGTGATTCTAAATTTAAATCTTATAGGGTGGAAGTTGATAAGTAGTAGATCCCACCTTTTGACATTATGCTTAAGATTTACAATGGCTTTGTTTGGGAAGTTGCTATTTTAATAGGCTATTTTAGTTTTTGGCTATTTCAGTAGGCTAAAAAGTGAAATGATTATGGGTTTGATGTGATATTTTGTCTTATTAGCTATTTTAGCCTATTTTGTCTTTTTGTGAATTTTAACCTAAACTAGGCTATTTTTTTTCTTGCCAAACACCCCCAATATGTTTTCTATTGTAATGATGTTTGCTTTTATAAAATTTAATAATCTAGGTTTAAATAGTAAATCTAAACTAATGCAGAATAGATGCCAAAATTCAAACCTTACCCTCTATTAGAATATAAACCTGTCTCTGTTCTTGAAACCCTAAATTCTAGGCTTGAAATCACATCTTACACCAATGAATGTATAATTTGAAATGCATATTATTTCATTATATTCTATTTAATCTTGTTTTGTTAATAGTTTAATCAAAGCATTTGATTGAAGCCTTTGTTATCTATTAAATAAGACTAGTACAGGTTAATCACATTATTCTTATAATGTTTGGATTGACATAGTTATAAGCAAGGCAAATTAGTATCAAGATATACTTAACAACTAGTGTTGGGCTTTACACTTGAGTGATCTTGACCAATCAATGATACCCATCACAGGTTCTGTTTTAATAATCTAAATCATTTATTTTGTAAAATCTTTACTTTGTATTATCCATAGAAAATTAGGTTTACCCAATTATCATAATATTTTCATTTTATTAAGTTTGTCTCCAAAAATAAAAAATGAACATAAAGGTTACAACTATTCAAATGAACATTTCATCACATTTATCTTCAAAAAAAATGAATTAATTAAAAGGTTACGATTATCAAAATAAAAAGGTTACAATATTATGGTTATCGGATAAATTTAATTTTTTTATAAATGATATACACGAAAATCCCATAAAATGAACAACTCAAATTATCAAAACGAGACTCTGTGTGAGCCCCATGAGCTTGTCAAGTTCATATTTGAATAAACATCAAAGATCTGGAAAGGCAACTAGGCACAATTGCAATCATCAGAGTCAAAGCAACTAGGTACAAAACAAATCCCAAAAAAAAAGACTCATGGTCAATCAAGTTTAATGAAAGAGGGGCTAAAGTATAATAGGACACAGTAAACCCGAATATTACGACAAATTTCTATATTACGATTTTTCCAATGAATATGCAGATTCTATGATGCAGAAAGCAGCAAATGTGTTGTCCTTCTCTCCCATGGAAGTAATGACACGAACTGTTCACTGTATTCCTTTCTGCAACTTCATCTTTCATATCCCGGGTCTCACTTTGGTGGAAGTGAGGATGATTTCCATTAGCAATAGATTGCGAAGTCAGGAAGATGGAGCTGAGACTACCAGACTATATTATAACAAGTAGGGTTGCACGGATATGGACAATCAATTTGTTTCGCAACTTGTCTGTTGAAGAACCAGTCACCAACAGACTCTGCAATTGTCTGTTTGACAAGCAGTGAAAACAGAGTCAATCTACTAATTCTTCATCAAACAAGATAAAAGGCAAATCAAAAGGCAGAATTGAGTGCCCTAATGCTATAATGCTCAAACTAAGTGAGCTGGAAGCAATAAGAATTGAGAACAGCTATCACAAGCACCGGAGATTCATGAACACGTGTCTCATTCAATATTGTAACTGAATCATAAAGCCTAATATCAGACCCCTGAGATTCAAATGGTTGGCAAAACACCAATCAAAGTGTGTTAAGCCTCCACGGAGGGTAGAGGGATAAGAAAAGCATACATTCCAACTAGTTACATTACACCTTATGGATATGAGAGCGAGCTTTTAAATTGAATGACAAGAGAGAGAGAGAGATGTGTTTGCAAAAGCAAACCATATTTTGACACAAGGTGGCTGATGTTATGTAAAAACCTATTACGTAAAGTTGACTTTTTCTTCATAAGTTGAAACCTTCATCTGGGATCCAACACGTGGGATAGAGTTAATGATAAACTTACCTTACTGTTGATTCTTGGGGAATTAGAAGAATGCCATGTCTCAGTCATCCATGTCTGGCAATGAACATAGCAGGAATTTATAAACATTCCCCCCTCCTTGTTTTGCTGGAATTCACTTAATACCTTCAGCAATGAATGTCGATAACCTGTATATATGATAACTCCAATCACTGAATCATCACAAAATATGGGCAGAGATTGAAAAAAAAAATTGATCAACATAAGCTTAGATTAGTAACATTGATATATATCATAAATAAAGGTCAACTGCCTACAAAGACGTCCATTTAAGCTTCCTACTAAGATTGGATTTTCTGTCCCATGATCAGTGTTACATAAACTCTTCTATTCCTTCCAATGTACCATGTCCACCAGATATGACAAGGGTAAGGGTATGGAATATGTGTCATACACCCATACCCAAATTAGATGCTTGGATCCTCTAATTTTTTCCATGTTTGAAGAAGAAGATTCTCACATTTAGTAGTAAAGAAAACTTTCTACATATCCGTACATAACTTTTGGATGCAATCCAAGTATCCTAACATTTAGGGTTTAGGAATGTCTGACACTTGGACACACCCACCGTCGATACTCGTATCTAAGTCCATGTAAACCTAGAAATAAGATAACTCTACAATGCCAGTTGATTACTTATTCGGGCTGAAAAACATACAGTCCCCATAGAAAACAAAAAGCTATGTATTCACGCCATCACAACCCACTTCATTTAATTTTCACCTTGAGATCACTAAGACAATAGCTTTTGAACAGAGATTCTCAACTGTTCAGTGCCCCAGCTGTGTGGCCCACATCTCATATAACCAAAACCACAAAACCAGTTGTTATATTCACAGGGTAACATACCATGTAGTACTTCCATCTGGCTAGGATTACAATTATCAATATTCAACTTGCATTTGAACCAGCTTCCATGAGGATCAGATTCATCTGGTACAAAGATGTGTTTTATCTAAAAATCATAAGGTTAATAAGAGAATATTTATATATACACGAAGCTAGAAAAAATTAGCATGCCCAGAATGAAACAATGGAACATGTACCTGCCAAAAATCATAAGCTGGATGGACAAGGAAAATTGGCGTCTTTATGTTTTTTATAAATTCTTGAGGGAAGAAACACTGGCATTGCAGTTAACAAACAACAGTGACTGCACATTAGACAACACATTTGAGCAGCAAAAGAGGAAAGCATCTTTCATAATCAGTGATACAACAGGAAAAATCATTATATATAAAAATAATAGAATACCCACCTTAGATGGTTCCATCCTTGCAACACAATCCTTGTCCAAACTTTTTGCTACAGCCTGACACCATGACAGGTAAACATGGGTGATCAGCAATGACTATAGGAAAAGATATTGCATTCATTTTAAAAAAGGATTTTCCTAAACAACTGTGAAGATCAAACTGATAGACCAAACATATGACCATGTGACAAAGGATGACCAAACATTTTTTTTCTAAATCATAAGTTCATGCACAGATAATGGGCTCTGTGATCAATTTGAACAGAGCACTTTGTTAATTTTATAGAGTTGTTTATAGTAACGTAGATGCAAGACAATCTGTCATGACTTGTAAATCCATAAAATTAAGCTAAGAATATCACCAATTATCCCCCCAAACAAATTGAAAAGCAAGAGAGATGGCAGAATTCCAGGCCAAGTATTGTAAAAACAAAATATAAACATTTGCAACTTTATTGTTTATGGTAAAATGCCAGTATGAGAGACAAACAAAGATAGAGCTTATGTAGCTTGAGACAGAGTACAGCCAAGTCACAACCTGGAGGTGGACAACATCTTGATAAAAAGTTGCAATGGTACGATGTCCAGCAACATCTTTCCTGAAATGAAGAAAGAATAACTAAAACAAAGTCATATTCAAGCTTGAAGGGTGAACATACCAATCGTACTGGTAAAACAAGCTTCCAATATCTAGGAAGTAATTTCACACAGGCCCTACAGGTGAGGTCTTAGACGTCGATTTAAACAAATATGTCAATATCCCAAAATAGAGATATATATCATGTGAAATTAAGAAGGAAGTAGTATTATGTTTCTGTAAAATTTGAAATATACAATGAAAATGTTAATAAAATTTCAGGAATATACTCATGAGAGAAATAAGCTTTAGTATTACCACATAGGTCGCTACAAGTGTTTAATCATGATTTTCATTTCTAAGTTTTGGTTATGTGGATAATTGTCAATAAATGATGTCATTGTCTCATACTATCCCTCTCTCTCTCTCTCTCTCTCTCTCTCTCTCTCTCTCTCTCACACACACACACACACACATGTCCGCGCACACAAAATAGAAAAGGGACCACTATTTTGCATTTGCATAACATAGAAGATATAGATAATGAATATGGTGGACATTTGCACTTTGCCTGGCACTAAAGTTAGATAATAATGCCCATCTCGGATTCATGAGAATCCTAACATATAAATTGCTGAAACCATCAAGGTAGAAAGTGTAAGGAGGATGGGAAACAAAGCCAAATACAGAAATAATATGGTGAAATTATAAATTCACTTATGACAACCTGTGGTCGAAGCATGCTAACTTCACTCTGATATACACATTGATTAGAAGATATTTTATCAGTAGCTAATATTTTAGATAATCTGAAATCAGAAACTCCTCATAAAAGAAATTAGTGAAACTATGGATGTACAATGCAGATAATATGTAGAAGAACATACACATTAAGGAAGAACCCTGCATCAGCAAGACATTTGACAGTAGCATATTTTGGCAAAATTTTGCGGAAGTTATCACAGTGTATGAGAGTTGCCAACCCTCCAGCAGAACATCCTGAAAGAAGAGCCTGTGAAGTTATCAAATGCATCGGTAAGAACCTACAAATCTGATTTTGGACAGTCCCATCAAGCATATCAACAGGCTAAAGATGAACGCTTCATTTGATATATTTTGTGAACTGTTGCAGGCAAAGCTAAAAGGGAAAAAGCAAACCATAACTTAATCCACATTATTAATGGAAATAAATTTCAGGATTTGATCAGACATAAAGGCATCGTAGAATTTGGAAGTAACATCTTTAGGCTCCAGGTGACACACAATGTTTTTATGTCTTCAATCAACATATCATTTTGGTGACGCAATTTCATACACATGATGCAATCAACCCCCAGCCCACCAGAATGAGAGTGAGAAGAGAGGGAAGATTATTTTGAAAAGTGTGCCTAAGTGTTCGCATAGACCAAAAGCAAGGCAAGGTGAAGTCTCAGCTCTTCAAGAGCCTTGAAGTCAGGCGAGGTCGAGGCGCATGAGGCATTCTCCTTAAGGATTAAGCGTGAGGCGATAGAGGCATTCACTATTTATTTACTTATTTATTTTTTACAAATATGATTTGATCTAAACCATCAAACAGTTGTAATAAACATCCAGCACACCAGATCACAGCTCATAAAGTATTATATTTCTTAACCTTGGCAGAAAAATTCAAATTACATTCTAATTGGATGGTCAAAGAAAACACAAATCGGCATCTCGATCTCAAGTGACAGAGCTAGTAAATGTTGAATACTAGATACCAGTTATTCTTCTTCTGGATGACCACACATCAATGTTGTCCTTCTCTATAGTCTATGTACGGGTACGGGAACGGGTATGTCGATGCAGTAAAATCTAAAAAAAGTATAGTACAGGGCCGGATACGTTTGTAAAAGATATTTATTTTTGATTTGGAGTAACGCAAGAAATTGGTTAAATGGTTTAATTTGTTAAAATCGAACCTACAATTTACATTTAATGCCAAAAAGGTAGAGATATAAATCGAAATTAAATGTCATTATATTAAATAATTTACAAACGATAGTTTCATTTTAAAATCATGCTAAGCATTAAAATAAATACATAAATAAATTCCAATGAAACTAATTTAACCTATATATTAAAAGAAAATAATGTTTCGACTGAGGTATAGTACGAATACACTAGGTACGTCTGGCGTACGGCAAAAATTAAGAAGGGCAAATTCGATATGTTTCGTGTACCCGATATGTATGCAAAAGTAACCATACAAAGTGTCGTTACCGTAATTGGTACAAGTATGGCATGTTTATCGAAATACCCACGCTTCATAGTCTAAAGTATTGTAGTTTTCTTTTTATTTTTCTAGATGGATAACGTATGTAGCACTACTTGGTTGTCTTTTAGGCGATATCTTGTAATCAATTTCATATACGGAAAAACAGAAGAAAAAAAATTAGCAGCTATTGTGAGCCTTAGAATTATGGCAATAAAGTGGCTATTAAAAAATGCATTGTGAAATAGTATGGAGTTGTTGATATTATTATTATTTTATTTGGAATTTTGTTGTTTCGATTTTTAATTAAATGGAAAGGAGAAAAAAAAAACGCTCAACTGAAATGAAATTTTTCTTAAGATTTTTGTTGTTGGATGTCTTAAATTTTTGTGAGATATTAGTATTTGGAATGTCGGATTTTATTGGATGCTTTATGCTTTTGATGGATATTTATTATTTGAAATGTTAAATGCATCATACTTTTGGGAATTATTGAGTTTTTGTCTATGTTATTTATTTATTTTTTTAAATTTCCTTAGTGTCCAGCTCGCTTCGATGAAGCCATCACTTTGCACTTAAGCCTTAGGAGGTCTTGTTGTCTTAGTTCGCTTTTTCACCTTAAATAACAGTAAGGAAGAAATCTGTTACTATGTTCCCACAAATAATGACCATTGCATAAGGAATTAGTCATCTACAAGCTTAATTATGAATAATGTTTTATCAACTCTAATTTAACCCCAAAAAAAAAAAGTAATTTTATTATAAAATTAAGAACAATACCTGTCTAGCATTAGACAATCCAATTGACAAGAGCTCATCCATAAGTGTTTCCCAAATAAGCTGACCCCTGAAGAATAGTTCTGTTCCATTCTATAGAGAAAAGATGAAGAGATGACATAATTAGTCAAATCTCTCTCTCTCTCTCACACACACACACATGCACACACACTACATGTAAAAAATAGAATTTGCATAATTCCTGACCAAGCTGAAAAACATCCACTGGACTTGCCTTAAACTCACTTTCAGGGTGCCCAGCAAAAGATGCACCATCACAATAGCGTATCTTGACTTTGTTCCAGTTAAAGAAATCTGAAGATACCCAAAATGATCCAATAAAAGTCCTCTGTTGATTAAATAAGAATAAGAGTGTAGATGCCTATCCAAATCCTAAAGCAAGCATTGATCATATCTAACTAACATGAAAAACAAGAATTCGAAGGCTTAACAAAGAAATACTGACAATTAAATGCTTAACTTTGAGAGGGGTGAACAACACCTTGTATCTATATGGTTATGGGGCCTAAGGATTAAAGGATATATGAAGTAGAAAGCCAGAAATTCTTCTATTATGTGGGCCCCAGCAAATGCTGTCATTTTGTGAGTTCTTAATTCAACAGTGGCAAAATGAAAGTCCAACCAGAATATGACGTGTTCCAACAATAAACAAGATACTTGCCTTCATAAGAACCAGCTACAATGGTTAGGTTATTTCAGTTCAGGAAGAAACTATTGTTGGCCAATATCTGTCCATATGAAAGCAAAATTGATGATAAATTGCTGCAAACATCAGTAGGGGTATTCTTTGTTTTTTACTCTTCGCAAAGTACTAAAATGAGGCAGCAAAATATCAAGACTCATGCTAGTTTTTTATTCCACCTTCTTACAAATCTAGTGTGCTTAAGAAGGATAAGTTTTCAAATTTTCAGTTGCGCGGTATTCATAACATTTTCAGTGGTACATAAAATGAATAGGCCTTGCATGCATATGTACATAGATACAAATATGCATACGTAGATATATCCTCACAAGCATAGATGCTGCATATATAGATGTATGATTGCCAGCATTCATACATGGATGAGAAAAGCACACTTATAACCATGATATACTGTTGTCACACCAGAACAATTGAAAACTATATGTGAATAAGTTCAGCACTAGTAAACATCAATGTGTAAGGATTCAAAATTTTCACAATTTTGTTTGAAAGAGAGAGAGAGGACTACAGGAATATGAAAATTTATTAACAAGGAAAAGAACACAAGGCATGCCAATTACAAAATTTTCAATAAAAAGTCATGGGAATCTACTTAGCATGATTACCAGGATTTTGTGACAATTCTTGGCTCAAAATTCCAGAAAATTGAACTTGACCATCCATATATCTTGAAGAACCTAATTCAGTTCTCTTACGAGAAGAACACGATTCAATTGTATCACACCAACCTCCACCCTACAACACAACAAGAAAATAAAAATAAATAAAAAACAGTTTACTAATGACTAATTGCAACCTTGTCAATCTGATTGAGTAGGTCAAACTGGCCTAAATCATACCAGCAACAAAGCAGCGGATATACTGTTGACAAAAATAATAATAATTAACCTGCACCTTTTCTAACACCTACAAAACTATTACATGAGTTGGTTGTTAACATGGTATCAAAGCAAGCAAAGTTGCTCTAATCACATCGATTAACTCATAATTAGAATACTTGCACATGCTAGACCTGCTCATGACGAGCAGCTGGCCACACATGATAAACGTGTCGAGAGTTTGATAATTATGATCTTAGCACATCCTAGACCTACTCATGATGTGCACACATGGGAGGTGTATTGAGAATATAAATAATAACGTCACACTATTTGATAGCTTAAGCTTTTAGACGGGCTAGTTGTTAACATAAAAATACAACATAAACATTAAGGACAAGTTTTCAAATAAACCTCTCAACAACCCACGCCAACCTAAGAAGGACAGACAGACATGTGAGACAACATTGGGACTGTTTAGTGCAACTTATGGATTGCTTATAGTTTATTTATTTATTTATTTTGGAAGTTTGTGCCAAATTGTTTGGTAGTCAGAAACAACATAAATAAGATGATTATCTATTAGTTGAGAGAGAGTTAACTTTTGTTTTTTGATTATCAACTTTTACCTTATGAGAAGCCACACCAAACAAGCCAATATGTCAATTTTCAAAAAAATGCAAAGCACGTCATGCAAAGGACACACAAAAAAGTATATGCTTTTATATATTTATTATCATATACATGAATATTTCATTCAGAGAAAATAAAGAATACAACATATTACTAATTCTTAAAAGTTTAAGAAAGGAGTGATTAAGAGCATCTCCAACATTTACCATTTTTTTTTTCAAATTTGAGTAAAAATTTCATGTGATATCGAGCATTCCAATGGAAAATTTTCATTTTTCATCAAACCACTGGTCGATCAGGAGTAGGGATGGCAATTTGAACCCGGCCCGACGGAGACCCGACCCCCCGTTCCCGATGAGAGTGGTTTTTCTCCGAAAAATACCCCCAACAGGCCGGGGATGGTATTCAAAAATAAATCCCCAGGGACGGTGATACATATTTCATCCCCGGCTCTCCGTCGTTGCCTTTTGCCTCTTCCTCCCTCTGCCACGACAGATCTGATGGAGTGCAGCACATCGTCGATCTCTACCGCCGCCTCATCCGCCGATCTCCACCGCTGATATCCTCCTCCGCCGCCCGGTGATACATATTTTATTCTTTTTTTTATCTGTTATTGATTTTTTGATCTGTTGATGATGATTTGTAATTTTTTTTTTTTTTGATCTGTTGTTTTTTTTGTTGATCTATGTTGATGTTCGATGTTGATAATGATCTCGTATTGTTTTTTTTTATCTGTTGATGGTGTTGAATGTTGAAACAGAGTTGGATCGGGGAATTTTCGGGGTCGGGGAAACCCAATCCCCGTTGGGGACGGGGATGGGGACTGTGATAGGTTCCCCGTCGGGGATCGGGGCCGGGGACGGGGAAGTTTTGGCCATCGGGATCGGGGACGGGGAGGGTGATCCCCGCCCCCGCCCCGCCCCGCCCCGTTGCCATTCCTAATCAAGAGGACAACTAGGAGGATGTCCAGCCGATCAACCGGTTAGTGTAAATTTCCTGGAAGTTTGAAGCAAAGAAGAGGTTGTCCAATAGGACAACCGGCCGGTCGTTCAGTGTATGGTCCCAGCGGCTATCTACAGTAATTTGATGAAATACTTCAGACCATCTCCAACGGTTCACCAAACCTAGCATCAAATTTGAAATTTAATGAAAAAGTCACTTTTTGAAGCTCCAACGGTTTCACCAAACTGGTATCAAATTGAGAATTGAACAAAAAAATCATCAAACTGAGAACAGGATACAGATTTTAGCAAATTACTGTTTGTGACCGTTGGAGGAGAGGAACCGGTCAACCAGCCGGTTGCCCGGCCGGTTGACCAACCGGTTGACCACGAAAAGGTTCAAACAGTTCAAATGGGTAGGTTCAAACAATTCAAAATATATATATATATATATTTTTGCCTTACCGGTCGACCAGCCGGTCGACCACTAAAAGGTTCAAACAGTTCAAACAGGTAGGTTCAAACAGTTCAAACAGGTAGGTTCAAACAATTCAAATGCCTTACCGGTCGACCAACCGGTTGTCCCTGGAGCAGATTTGATGAAAATCAACCATTGGAGCATTCTGTATCAAATTGAGAAAATTGTCATTTTTTTATTTAGATTTGGTGAAAAATTAGGTGAACAGTTGGAGATGCTCGGTGAATCAGATTTTTCATCAAATCTGAGTCAAAAATGACTCATTTTGCCAAATTTGGTACTAGATGCTCCAACGGTTCACCTTTCACCAAATCTGTCCCGGGATAACCGGGTGGTCGACCGGTCGACCGGTGAGTGAAATTTTTTTTTTTTGAATTGTCTGAACCGTTTTTGTTGAACTTTCTGAACTTTTTCCGGGACGACCGGGTGGTCGACCGGCTGGTTGACCAGTTAGGAATTTTTTTTTTTTTTTTGAACTGTTTGAACTTTTTTTTGAACTGTTTGAATCTTTTACTGGTTGACCGGTTGGTCAACCAGCCGGTCGACCGGTTGGTATCACCCCAAAATGCTTCGCCTGTTCTCAGTTTGATGAAATGTTTGGTAAAATCTCATTTTGATATCGATTTGGTGCAACCGTTAGAGCATCAAACAGTAACTTTTTCACCAAATTTTAAATTTGATGCTGGGTTTGATGAACCGTTGGAGATGGTCTCAGGCATCCTCAATTTGATGAAAAGTTTAAGAAATAATGGTGGAGCACCAAAACTGGACTTCTTTCATCAAATTTAAAATTGATGGGGAAAAAAAAAAAAAGTAAACCTTGGAGACGCTTTAATAGGTACAAATATAAACCCATAATCCAAAAGCATCCCTCTCGCTTTTCAATAATCAATTTTCTTTCAACTAATTTAAGTCAAGCTCCACCAAACATTACAGCATAAACTCCCAAAATAACAAAATAATAATAATCAGCCCATAAGCAGAGAAAAACCAATTCCAAACTTTTGTGCCAGACTCAATCTTCAAACAGAGACAGAGACACCACCAATTAAGAAGACAAAAACCCAAAAATGATAAAGCACAAAGAACAAGAAAAAAGAGTGATTGACCTCAACGTGAAGAACCCAGTTACTAGAACCAGATCCAAAACCCTTTTGTAAATGGTATGCAGGCAAACTCCCATCCAAACAAACTGCAACCAAAAAACACAACATATAGTACATAATTACATATATATATATATACAGAGAGAGAGAGAGAGAGAGAGAGATTACAGGCGCCTCTGTGGGTGGCATTGCGCAATAGGGTTAAGGGGACCCGAAGGGGGGCGGAGGATGGATTGAGGGGTTGTTGGGTGGATGGTTTAGTGCGAGAATCGGAGAAGACAGAGAAAGTGATGATGAAGATGGCGAATCCGGTGGCGGCGGCTGCGATGGCTTGATCTCTCTTGGACCATTTTCTGCACCAAATCAGAGGACGAAACCTCTGATTCGCCATTTTTTTTGTTAGCTGATCTCTCTCTGGATCAAACCATTTGATTCGATCTTACTCACTTTTGTTAGTAGATCAGTCGTTGCTCAAGTCTGTATATTTTCTAATTGGTAGATCAGAGTTTTTTTTTTAACAATATAATAATTATTACGTTATCAATTTCTCGAACTTCAAGATTACCAGCAAATTGACATACGTTATTCTCGGCCGCCCTACCCGGCAGCCCCCTAAAACGACGTCGTTTTGGGGGTAAATTTTCAAAAAAAGAAAAAACGCAGAGGAAGAGAGGGAGGAAGGAGAGGACGAGGGAGGAAGGACGAGGGAGGAGGACGAGGAAGGGAAGGAGGGGGCCATAACCAGTGGGGAAGGAGGAGGCGGAGGCGACGGCGGTTGGGCGAAATCCACTATCAAAAAAAATAATCAACTTCTTAAACATAATATTTTTAAGTGAATTAAAATAATTAAAAATTAAAAAATCAACTAAAATAATTAATTTTCCAAACCCACTAGTCACACAGCAGAATTAGCACAAAAGCATAAACAAAAAGGAATGCAGCCGGTTCACGTGGCTTGTGTAAGGCTGACCAGGTACGCAAAAAAACGATTTTGCCCTTCAAAAGTTTTGAAAGTCATACCAATCATTCAAGACTTAGGGGCAATTCTGTCTTTTGCCAAGCCAACATCAATCAAACACATTTTTTAATACTCAAAAATCAAAAAAAAAAAAATCATTTCCCGAACACAAAAATTAAAATAATCAAATAGTTAAAAGAAACGGTTGGGATTCGTAGCTCGAAATGATGAGGCTCGAAAGTGACTCGACTTTGCCAAACTGGTTTCTGGGTTCATCAACATAACCTTGGGTAAACCTTTTTTCTTCTTCTTCTATACAATTTTCTTCATCAACAATTTTTTCTGAACAATATTTTTTCATCACCCACACAAATCTGGAAAATCAAACCACTCACACAAATCACACCCAAACTGTTGGGAATATGATATCTCTTTCTTGTATCATGAATGTATGAGCACGATCGTCTGCCGTCGTCCTCCGTCGTCGGCAGAACCAGCACGATCGTCTGCCGTCGTCCTCCGTCGTCGGCAGAACCAGCACGATCGTCTGCCGTCGTCCTCCGTCGTCGGCAGAACCAGCACGATCGTCTGCCGTCGTCCTCCGTCGTCGGCAGAACCAGCACGAACCTGCCACCATCTTCTCTCTTTCTCTTCTTTTCTTCATCTTCTCTCTTCCATCTTCCTCTTTTCTCCTTCTCTCTCTCTTCTCTCTCTCTCTCTCTCTCTTTGTATTCGAATGCAAGAAAAAGAAGAAAAAAAAAATGAAACCCAAAACGAAACGACGTTGTTTTGGGTTTCGAGCCAAAATCGGGCCACTAATTTCGAGTTACCAGCCATTTTCCTAAAAGAAAATTAACTAAAATAACTTAATCCAAACCAAAGCCTTAATATTGAAGCTCTCCACTTAGGCCTCGTTTGGCAACAAGCCGGTTTAGTTAAAAAGTTAAAAAGTTATTAAAAAGGTTAAAAAGCCAACAATTCATACCAAAAAGTCAAAGATTCTCTTTTCTCTCTACTTTTTGTACATCTTTTCATAAAAAGTCAAAAAGTTATCCCAAACATACTAGTTTTTTTTATCTCATATTTTAGACAAATAGCCAAAAAGTTACTAAATTAGCTTGTTCCCAAACGAGGCCTTAATATGTTAAATCTATTATTCTATTATTGTTCTCGTTTGGGAACAGTTTATTTTAGTAATTTTTTGATTTTTTAGCTAAAATATGAGGTAAAAAAACTAAGGCTCTGTTTGGTTGTTAATTCAAATCAATTTTCAAAACGTGAGCTCGCATATGACGCTTGGATACGACGTTCAAAAATTGATTCTGTGTGTTAATTCAAATTACATTTTGAAAATCTGTTTGGCAGCTTGTATCTCCCTTTCAACGTTTCTGCCTTTTTCATCGTCTCTTCAACTTTCACGTGAAGCTCATCTACATCAGTCCTTTAGATTCATCACGGGTGGCTTCTCTGTATCAAACATCCGTACTTCAAATTCATCCTTCATCTGTTATCTGAAAATGATTTTATCTGTTATTGTTTCAGATAAGTCGATAAATGATTTCATTCTTTATCCTAAACTGTTTCAACTTTTTTGTTTTTCAAGAATAGTCAGTAAATCAATCTTCATCTGTTATGTATAAATGATTTCGGAGAAGTTGAAATCAGTTCCTAAATGGTTTATGAGAATTTGTAGAGGTGTATTTTCCATTTCAGATCGGTTGTTCCTTTTAATTATGAACTGTTTGAACCTTTGAACCTGAAGCGGGAGTGCCTGGGACACCCGGCCGATCGTCCCCCTGGTCATCTGGCCGGTAGACCACCCAGTCAACCACCCGGTCCTCCCACCTTGTCTTCCGGTTTTCCATTTCTTCGTTAATGGTTTGAACTATTTGAACCTTTCATCAATCAGTTAATGGTTTGAACTGTTTGAAACGGCAGTGCCTGGGACACCCGGCCGGTCGTCCCCCGGGTCATCCGGCCGGTCGACCGGCTGGTCAACCACCCGGTCCTCCCACCTCTTCCGGTTTTATCTTCTGGTTTTCTATTTCTTCGTTAAAACCTACCGGTCTGTTTGAACCTACCGGGCTTTTTTACTGATTTTTTTTCCTTAATTTTTCTTTTACTAATTTGTTTCCTCCTATTTAAACACAATGTTAACTGATTTTTTTTTTTATTTGTGGTTATATGTTACTGATTTGTTTCCTCCTATATAAACACAATATTAATTGATTTTTTTTTTATTTGTGGTTATATTTCTGCTATTTGAATTTTTTTTTTTGTGGTTATATTTCTGCTATTTAAATTCAATTAATCTGCTACGTATCTTTTTCCTCAAAATAAAATCATCTGTTCTTTTTCCTGTGTTCTCCTTCAAACCATTTTCACGCTGTTATTCTTGTAAACGCTGGGGTATTCTTTTCAATTTTCTATACAGAAGTTTATATTAACCTTTTTTTTTTCCTTTTCATTAAAATAAAGAATGTTTATTATTAAATATTATTAAATTGTAACTTGTTTTATTTAATTCAAAACATTAATTTAATTTTATATTATAATTGATGCAGAAAAATTATTTAATAATTGTGTAATTTTTATTCATTTTATTCAAATGAAAGATTTCGCAGACATTTATGAATTACTATTTATTAATTTTTGTACAAATAATTTTTTCAATGCATAATCTTTTTGCACAAATTGTTATAACATTATAACTATGTAATTAAATGATTCCAAAAAAAACTCATCGTTGTTATTCATTACGTGAATAGAAAAGTTTATAACAAAATAACAAAAGTAAAACAATCACAACAAAACTCACCAAATAAATAACCAAAACAAAAAAGAGAAAAAAATATAACCACCATATCTGTGAACCATTTTACTTGATTTTTAAACAAGTTAAGCATCCTTGTCAGGTGGTATTGGAGATGGAAGGAAATGCTCATGGTGCAGTTGAGTGACTCGATGTTCAATCAGATCAATGCGGTTCCTTGTCAGTTCAGCGCTTCTCTCTGAGTCTACACGAAACTCACCAAATTGATTAATTAGTGAGTTCTGAGCGGTGGCAATTTCATCGAATTGAGTACCCAATGTATTGAGCTGATTAGCCATTTGTTGTTCCCATTGTAGGCGCTGATTGTACCGTTCTTGTTCCAAGGCTAAATAATCAGTCCAGTAATGGGGTTGTTCATTTGGTGGCATGGCATTGTCATTGGGTTCTTCCTCATCAGGTATTGGTTGATTTTCAAGATTAATAAAGCCCATCAAGGTGTCAGCACCACCAGCTCGGGTCAGTGTATACTCAGAAATTGGTGAAGTGATTCTGATCCATCATTCACCTTCAAGGTTCACATCATGGGCTTTGAAAATTATGGTTAACAAAGCTCCAAAAGGTAGTGACCGGCCACTCAGAGTATCCAATTTTGCAAGCATAATTTCTTTTAGTAGTATAAAGCATAAATCTAATTTTTGTCCAATTTCAAAACAATATAACAAGTAAACTTGAAAACATGAAACACTATTATAATGTCCTTTTTTGGGAGTGATATTTTCAACTATCCATTGATGGAGAATACGAAGGTGAGGTTTTAAATGGCTGGCTTGTAAATTAGTGCCGCTAAATCGATTGTCACAAATTGTGATATAAATCTGAGTGACATCATCAACAATTTTTTCTAATGCGGCCTCATTTTGAAAATAACATTGTAAATCTCCTGTTTCGACTCCAATAATTTGTGCAAAACGACGGAGAGAGAGTGTGATTCTTTTCCCCTTAACATAAGAGGTAAGACTGAACGGTTCATTTTGTTGGTCACCCAGTGTCAAGTGAACATAAAATAATCGTAGAAGACGGGGATATATCTTATTTGGCAAATTATTTAATGGTAACCTTCCCATTGTATCTAATTTGCCAAGTAAGAGTGAATCATATTTAGAAAGCAGTTTTACGTTTCTCCCTCCCCATAATAATTGGTCGAGTAATGAAATGTTCATAGGCTTGTTCATAATGATATGTTGCAAAATAATTAGTTGGATAGCCATCATGTTGTTGCTGTGGTGGTGGTACAGGGTTTGAGGATTCACCAAGTTCGGGCCTGGTTCGTTTTGTTCTTGGCATGATTATTCTTGGTATGATGACTGCAAAAGTGAAAGAAAATTGTATATTAAAACATATGAGAGGTAAAAAATATGTATGAAAAATATACCAACCATTAGTACATTTTTGTGCATACAAACTTATTTTTATGTAAAAAATAAATATAAAAAAATTTGATGACAAAATTTGATTAGGCAGATGCCATAGAAACAGATTTTTATAAAAAAAAAAAAAAAAAAAAAAAAAAAAAAAACCATAGGAATGATATTTCTCATTTATATTGGGTTTGTTTCATTCAGTTTATTATAACTTAGAAACTGACAATCAGAAAAATAAATGATAGTGTGACAAAATTAGAACAGAAATCAAAAAATATAACAGATGAAAATGGAACAGATATGAAACAAAGCAAACAGATACGGAGGTGGAATGGTGACTGGGCCGGGATGACTGGCCGGATGTCCCGTGAGATGACCGGCCGGTAGACCGGTAGGATGACCGGCCGGT